TTTTTTAAGCAGAACAGTGAGAGGTGAGGATGTAAAGGCCACAATAATACCTTTTTGCCTGTCAGGCTGGCACACACAGCTCTCTGAGGTCACACACCCTGGCAGYTYRTTCACATTCTYATTTTCCTCTTTTCATTCTGAGCASAACATTTGTGCAGCCAAACCCTGCATCAACTGCTCATAAAGGACCAGAGAAGGTGTAAAAATCTGCCTCTGCTGCTTTGGGATCCCATCAGCACTGTGCACTGCATTGCACACATTTCATCACCATCAATAGGGGCCCTAAAAGGGTTTGGGGTGCACTCAGAGGGCGAGGATCAGAACAATGAACATTTTATCACCATCAATAGACCCTTCAGAGGGGTTTGGGGTGCACTCAGAGGAACAATGAACATTTTATCTCCATCAGTAGGGGCTCAGAGGGGTTTGGGGTGCACTCGGGGTGAGGATCAGAACAATGAACATTTTATCACCATCAATAGGGGCTCACAGGGGTTTGGGGTGCACTCAGAGGAACAATGAACATTTTATCACCATCAGTAGATCCCTCAGAGGGGTTTGGGGTGCACTCAGAGGAACAATGAACATTTATCACCATCAATAGATCCCTCAGAGGGGTTTGGGGTGCACTCAGGGTGAGGATCAGGAACAATGAACAAATACAGCCCCCATACACACCTTTAGGACCTGCTCTAGGTTCTCCAGCTTGGCTTGGAGCTGGTGTTTCCCCTTCACAGCCAAATCTCGTTCTTTGGTCACTCTGAGGAGGGTTTCTCGAAGATGGTCATAGTCTGATTTTATCTAGAAAAAAATAAAATGGGATTATTGCCCAAACTGCAATGAATGAAGGCAAAACTGCAGCTGACACGAGTATTTCTGCATGATGAAATGAAGAAAGGAGAAAGCTCAAAGGAAATAGGAAAGAAGCACAAAACCCRAAAGGGAATGTTCATTGAAGTGTGTGTGTCTCACACACGTGGAACATTTTCTGTCAGCAAGGACTGCAGCCTGGCAGCCCAACTGGAGTCACACACAATTCATTCAAATTTCAATAAATACACTGTGTGATGCACAGAATGAATGGCAATCCAACATTTCTAAATGCTCTGGATCCCCCAGATGGGTGTGCTCCACAGAGAGGCAGAGATCTCAGATTATATATAAATATATAATATAACTCYAATTGGCATTTATTCTGGACTCTTTTAAGTGCAAACTGACCTCAGAATAAACTCAAATRCACATGATCAGCCTGTGTTAACATTTGAAATCAGGGCACCTACAATTCAAAAATAAGTATTCTTCTGCAACAAATCCCTTGCTCTCCCTCAAAATATTTAAAGGATCAGATACTCATAAAGTAAGATCTGTTTAATGATTTAATTCATTGGGTCCTATGTGAACCAGCTCAGTACAATCAAGTTTTTTCGTACAGGGTTTTGTGAATCATCACTGACAGTGACTGTTTCACATCTMTCCTGGCCATTTTCTAATGCAATGTTTTCAAAGCTGATTCAGCCTTTTTTTGTTTTTTCCCTCTGGCTGCAGTTTGTTAAGTTGCAAATTTTGCCATGGACCAAACAACCTGAATGGTTGCAGCCAGCCCTCAGATCCAGCTTTGCAGAAGGGCTCTTTGGAGTGCAGTGGACTAGAAAAAAAGAGAGGAAAATGGAACAAATCATGTTTTCCACAAGAACTGATGCAATTATTGTCAACCTCAGGATTTTTTTTTTTTTCTGTGCACAGATTTTTCTTTTCCTGTCCCGTCAGTTCTTTATAATGAAGTAAACTATTAAACAGTGGATTTTCAGAATCTATTAACTCCTGCATCCTTTGAATTGTGTCCCCTGCCCAGATCAGCCAGAGTGCATTGTTGAAGAATAATGGGGTGGAAGAAGGAGGCACTGAGGTATCAGCATCAGTGATCAATCCTGGTTTTGTGTGAGACTCTCATTAATTAAATGAGCACTAATGAAGCACAATATTTTGAACAACTTACAAGAAGAGGTTATTTTTGTCAGGCTTTGGTTTTCCCTGTCTCCAAAACAATTCATACCAAGTGATCCCCTTTGGAAAGGACTTTTCCTAAAAGGCACAAATCACCATATCCTGAATATTTCTGGGAGCTGGAAAAGGCACATTTATATATATATATATATATTTATATATATATTTATATATATACATTTACATATTTGTGATATTCATTTATATATGTTTATATAACCCACATGGCATCAGAAAGCTTCAGGAAACTATCATTTCCATTTTTGTTTTTAGACAACATTTGTTCTGAAATGTGACTTCAATGCTGTCCCTGAGCAGGCTGTTTGAGACCATATGGGCTATACATGAACTGGAATTACTCAGGAGCATATCAAAACATCAGTGTTCCCACTGGCAAAAACAGCTGACCTAAATAGAGCGAGTGCATCAGCCACAGCTCCAGTTTCATGACACAAACAGGGAACATTTTGATCCGTGATGTTTCTGTTCAATCCATCAGCTCGTTTATTCTGCACCCTGTGTGTTCACACTGCTCTGATTTCAGGGCCCTGATTTCAGTCAGTGATGAGCCAGGGCTGTGTTGGCTCCTGAGCTCTCCAGCTCAAAGCAGCTCTCAAAATCCATCCCCAGGAACTCACTGAGGTTTTCCCCTGCAGGGCTGAGCCCTAACTCAGAATTCTGCTGCAGCCTCCACATCCAAAGCTGTGGAGTTCCACACATTCTGAACAATGAAATGCAATCCAAAGTGCACAATCCATCCTCAGCCCCCATGTGTGGGGTAAAAACCCAGAAAAAACCCTGATGCAAGAAGGAAAACAAAAGGTTCGCTGACACTGAGGGTGTGTGACTGAGATTACGGATTGTTAAATTTGGTAAAAGTGAGAAAGTGTTCACAGGACACATTTGTGGCTGTACTGAGGCTGCGATATGAGATCAGCAGTGCAAGAATCCAGAATTTCTGCACGGTATTTCACAGATGTGAGGAGACAGCACCCACAGGATGATGAATTCTGACACTGCACTAGGAAAAGGGAATTTATTTCTAACTTAGTGGCAGAGGCTAATGTGACAGAGGCTGACGTTTTACCCCTGTATTTTAAATTGGTTTTAGCAGATTTTTTCAATGTCCCTCAACCAACCATTACCCACAATAAAGCGTTACCAAGCCGTAAGTTGCTGATTGTAAGAGGACAAACATTTCCAGTGTCCCCAAAGCCCTGAGCCTTCACTGCATTAATGGTGCACAGTGCTGTGTGTCAGCTAAAACAGAAAATTACCCGAGTGAGACTTTATCTTTATGTGCCTCGCGAGGTACAGAGCAAAGGTAATGAGCAAACAGCAATAAAGAGAAGAGAAACACATCAGGAACGGGAGAAATGCGCTAACAGATGGAGGAATAAAATAAAGTGATGCCGTGGTGCACACGGCTTCCTCCTATCATCAAATATTAKAACTCTGTCTTTTTACATAAAACCAATTTAAACTCGTCAGCAACGGGAAACGTCAGCTCTGCTTCCCCAGGAGGGGCTGAGCACCAAACACAGCCCAAAGAGAGCCAG